AATACAAATTCGGGATAAACATTGGTTATTGTAATACAATTGAAGTAGAACTAGATGGTGAACCATGGTACCGTGATATTAAACAGTTTCTGAAAACAAGAGAATATCCAGAACATGCTAATAGGGATCAAAAGAGAACTATTAGGCGACTATCTAATGGTTTCTTTTTGAGTGGGGAAATCCTATACAAAAGAACCTCGGATTTGAATTTATTGAGATGTGTGGATGCCAAAGAAGCTGAAATGATTATGAATGAGGTGCATTCGAGAGTTTGTGGTCCGCACATGAATGGATATGTTCTAGCAAAGAAGATCCTTCGGGCAGGATATTATTGGCTTACTATGGAGCGAGATTGCTTTCGTTTTGTGCGCAAGTGCCACCAATGTCAGATTCACAGTGATTTGATTCACTCGCCTCCTTCAGAGTTGTATCCTATGTCGGCTCCTTGGCCTTTTGTTTCTTGGGGAATGGACGTCATTGGCCCAATCGAGCCAAAAGCTTCAAATGGGCACAGATTCATCTTGGTTGCAATTGATTACTTCACCAAATGGGTGGAAGCTATTACATTAAAAGCAGTTACCAAGAAAGCAGTAGTAGACTTCGTTCACTCCAACATCATCTGTCGTTTTGGTATTCCAAAAACCATTATTACAGATAATGCTGCTAATTTGAATAGTCATCTGATGAACGAAGTATGTGAACAATTTAAAATTGACCATCGCCATTCTACTCCTTACCGACCCAAAGCTAATGGAGCTGTTGAAGCTGCAAATAAGAACATCAAGAAGATTCTTAGGAAGATGGTCCAAGGGTCTAGACAATGGCACGAGAAATTGCCTTTTGCTCTTTTAGGATACCAGACAACTGTCCGTACATCAGTTGGTGCAACGCCCTACTTGCTAGTTTATGGCACTGAAGCGGTTATACCTGCTGAAGTTGAGATTCCCTCTCTCCGAATAATTGTTGAAGCTGGGATTGAGGATACTGAATGGATGAAGTCACGATTGGAGCAGTTGAGTTTGATTGATGAAAAGCGTTTGGCGGCAGTTTGTTTTGGTCAATTATACCAACAAAGAATGGCACGCGCTTACAATAATAAAGTGCGCCCAAGAAAATTTGAGGTAGGACAGCTTGTTTTGAAACGCATCTTTCTACACCAGGAGGAAGCAAAAGGAAAGTTCGCCCCGAATTGGCAAGGTCCTTACCTCGTCAAGAAAATATTGTCGAAAGGAGCTCTACACTTGGCAGATATAGAAGGAAAGGTGACAGACATATCCGTCAATACAGATGCGGTCAAGAGATACTATGTCTGATACGCTTCTGTTGGGGGCATTTTTCTTATATATACTTAGCATTCTCAGGTTGGGATGACGAAAGGCTATCATTCTCGCTACCCAAACACTGGTTAACCCTATCTAGCCCTTTGAAGCCTTGTTTATATTTCTTTGTTTTACCCTCTTTTGGAACAAATGTACTTAAAAAAAAAGAATCAATCAAAATCATCAAAACAAGTTCATGTTTCCTGAACTACGTTCGACTTGATTCCGAAAGGATACGTAGGCAGCCTCTCTCTGAGGTTCAGTCGCACCAAAATAAAAATCCATATTTCCCCACTATTCAAAGAAACTGGGGCATGTTTTTATTTTATTTTCGACGGTTGTTCCATCAAATGGTTCCAAAAGTTGTAATTCAGTTGATTATTTCTTTTTACCTTTCCATTTCAAGACCTTCTGATCAGCTTTTGAGAATGCTAAGTCAGTATACTGCGGGTGACGTTTCAACCATTGTAAAGAGAGAAAATAAATGAGAGAGTCTTATCGGTGAAAACCCTCAAGGGCACTATAAGGCGATGGCGAGTTGAGAAAAATAAATGAGAGAGTCTTATTGGTGAAAACCCTCACGGGCACTATAAGGCGATGGTGAGTTGAGAAAAAGGCAAATGAGAGAGGTCAATTGGTGAAAACACACAAAGGGCATCGTTGATCGATTTTAGGTTTTCTTATATCCCGGCACAAGCATGGTTAAAGAACTCAGTTTCAAAGTGAAGTTTACAACAGATTTTGAGAATTAGATGGTTTAGACGGATCGGGCATCCAGTCCAAAGTGCATGTCATGTTCATTGAAGTCAGCATATTCCTCCAGATAAGTCCTTTCTTATTTTTCTTGAAAGGGACGCTTATTGATTAAGTTGTAATGTTTATTAGTTCACCTACTTGTTTTCTTTTATACTATTATTTTTTGAGTTCCTTTCAGTTTAATTTTGTCAAAGCAAAGCAAAGAAAAGGTCACAATATTGGTTACAGTTTCCCCGTTATATGAAGCAAAAATTTTTGGGCATAAACAGTATGGGCAAAGCCATAAAGCTGACTTTGATATTCCTTGTCAAGCAAAAGGTTTGAAGGACTTAGCAATGTTTCAAGGGTCAACAAAGGTTACTCATCAAAAGTTATTTTGGGGAACAAGGTTGTTTGCATCATAGACACAAATGGTGATAGGCGCAAAATAGTCAGGTGTTGATGTGGAGAAAGAAGCTCTTCAGAGAGTAAAGTCAGAATCTCCCGGCAATTTGTACGATCATCGACAGGGTCGGTTTTCCTAACAAGTGTAATGGACGCAAGGTCAAGTCGCCCAAGAAATCAAGGCCACAAACTGACCACCATTTTAAAACTAACGAATCTTTCTTTGTTTAGAACAAGAACATAATAGTTTAGTGAAACAGTTCGTGGAAGGACGAACACCACCAAGTGAAGTTCTCAAATCCATGATTTCCTTCCAATATGCACGTAAGCATGTTATTTTTAGTTTCATTATAGAGGATCAACACCCTATCTTCAACACAGGGTACTACATTCCCTGGTTGCATTATTTTCTACATAGGGTACGACATCCCCTAGTAGAATCTCAGAGTGCCACGAGCCTCATNNCCCGCAGTCCCTAGCATCCCAGAGTGCCACGAGCCTCATCTATTGCCAACACATGGTACTACATCCCCTGGTTGCATTTTTATTTTCTACATAGGGTACGACATCCCCTAGTAGCGTTTCAGAGTGCCACGAGCCTCATCTTATTTCCAACACAGGGTACTACATCCCCTGGTTGCCTTACTTCTTGTTGCAAACATAGGGTACGACATCCCCTAGTTGCATTTTAGAGTGCCACGAGCCTCATCTTATTTCCAACACAGGGTACTACATCCCCTGGTTGCATTATTTTTTCTACATAAGGTACGACATCCCCTAGTAGCGTTTCAGAGTGCCACGAGCCTCATTTTATTGCCAACACAGGGTATTACATCCCCTGGTTGCATTTTTATTTTCTACATAGGGTACGACATCCCCTAGTAGCATTTCAGAGAGCCACGAGCCTCGTCTTATTGCCAACACAGGGTACTACATCCCTTGGTTGCATTATTTTTTTTTCTACATAGGGTACGACATCCCCTAGTAGCGTTTCAGAGTGCCACGGGCCTCTTCTTATTGCCAACACAGGGTAATACAATTGGAGAAGCAAGTCAAGAATCAATACAAGACTCCAGATGGCATTTAGATAGGAATTTTGTAACTATTAGATTTCAAGAGTATGTAATTTTCTTTTCATTTTGATGTAATAGTAGGAACTGCGGATCGGAACCTCGACGGAACTTCACTCGATTCTCCCTCTAAGAATACTCCATCACTCTTCTTTCACTTGAACTACACGTGACCTGATTCCCTTAAAACCCGGGATATGTAGGTTGCCTAAGACCAAGGCTCGGTTGCATCTTTTTCTTTAATCTTCTTCTCCTTTTCAAATAACAGTGAGGTCAAAAATCAGTCACCTTGTTCATTTTCTTTGCATGAAAACTCTCCATGTTTCCAAGCAAAGAGGGGCATGCTGTGAACACCTAATTTTTGCCACACCCAAATTCTATCCTATTTTAATGTAAATATTTCTTTTAGGTCTAATCTTAATATTTTAAACTTTTGTCTTACTCTTAATAGGTTTTATTTAAAAGAAAAAAAACTAACAAAATTACTTACATTCTTAGAATATAAAGTTTATTTCTAAAAAAAAGATTAAAAAATATATATGTACATATATATAGATGGTTTCTTTTAATTAGAATTTTAATAAGTGACTTTCTCCTTTTATAGTTAATTCTAAGAGAAAGTGTAATGCCTTTGTCTTAATGAGGCAATTACGCGCAATAAATGACACTAAAAGAAACGTTACTCAATCATTCCTATTAAATACAAATTCTCTAACGTATTTGGCATTTAATGCTGAATTTGGACTCTTTTTCGCTATCAGATTCATGTCTTCAATTCCTTCTGATCTTCGAGCTTTAAATGACTCGAACAGGTACGAGACTCGTTTCATAATAGCTCGTGCCTTTAAGTATCTTCTCTCCTGCATCTGTTGTTGCTCGTGCCTTCTAACTGATTACCACGCTTTGACTATTTGACCGGTCCACGTGTCATGACACGTCATCTTCAATATTTAAATTCGGTTTTTTCCCAATACAGATAGTCCCCCCACTTTCCATTTATTTATCAATTAAATATTTGGGAAGTGGATCTTCATTAAAAAGGGAATTTTTGCCATAATCAATGCTATGACAGTACTAACGCTTCAGTTGTCTTTTCTATTTAATGCATTGCATACATGTCACCTTCTCATTAGCTCTGCAATTCTGCAGCCTTTTTTCAAGGCTTCTTCAACTCCACTATTCACGAAGTGATAGTTGCCTTTATTATAGGCTTTCCATCATTACACCTCTTAGTCTTTGACAGTCGCTTTTATATATAAACTTAACCCTTCTTCCACAAATTTTTACCAAATATTTCACTATTTACTCTTATTCACTTCTTCCTCTGTTTACATCTTTCTACCATGTCATCTTCGAATCCCAACCCTAGGAGAGTCCCAATTCTTGACAGTTTCCCCAATGCCCCTGTGAGACACAGAAGAGGTAGAGGAGGTAGGTTTCGTGGCCTGGGATCCATTCGTGGTGGTACCTCTGGTTCCATCACTCCTTCTTCTAGCTCTGGTATTACTTCTAGAGGTTCTTTCACTAATAGATCCTCTTCTAAAGGCAAAGAATCTTCTGAGTCTATTCAAGAACCTTTGGTCGAAGAAATAGTGCCAACCGACTTATCTTTCGAGCATGATAAAGAATCCCTTCGTGACCAAGTAATTAAGTTAGAGAGAGCTGACACCTATCCTTCTTTAATTACCGAACCCTTGATTTCCACTGTTCGAAAAGATTGTCATTGGAGAGATGACCTTCATATAGTTATTCCTAACCCAAACCAGAGAATATCTTCTTACTAGGTATTGGTTTTCCTCTGTTTATACTTATCCCTTTACTTTGGGTATTTATTCCCTGCTATCGACTCA